GCCACATCAGCTTCTGGTGGGTAGCTGCCCAGTGTTTCTACAATTCTCTTCTCTCCTCCCACCTCTCAGCTAGGATGGCCTCTGGTCTTGGGAGGACACATATGTTCCTTCCAGGGAGGGGACCTTAGGCTTGCTTCTTAACTCTGAGTCCTTGCTGGTCTTTGCTGCAGGATGGTTTGATCCATTCCATGGGTCTTCTGGGTTGGTGGTCATGGAGGAGTGATTCTCTTCTTGACTTAATGCTGCCTGTGGCCCTGGTCATTGGCCTTTGGTGGAGGAGTCTGTACACTCTGTTATCCATCTTATTCTAACTCCAGGGCCCTGTCTGTCCTCTGGCCTCTTGGTACCAAACTTATAGGTACCATATGTACCAAGTACAGGCTTTGGGAAGCCAAAACTCTACTCCAGAGCACCCAAACAATGGCCTCCACCAGAAGAAGTACCCATTTGACCATGTTGCCATGTTGGAGAGCTTGCAGTGCAAATGTGGGATTCCAGAGGAGGGGGATATTGAAATTCTCCTGGTATATTCATAGGAAAGAAATGACAAATGTTGGTGCTCTGGAGGATTCCTAGTGTGGGGGGACAAGGAAAGATATGCATGTAACTGGCTAGTTTCTCTTTACTTACTTTTCCCATTTGTTGCTCTGCCCAGCCCCAGAAAACTCTTAGCTTTTCCCTAGACAGGTGAGAATGCCATTCCATCTTCTTCTAACTCTATACTTGTAAAATACCAAATTGTCATTTAAAGTAGTGCTTTGCTTACAGCAAGGGAGTTTTGAAATTTAAAGGTCTTTTTTTCTTAAAGCTTGTATTTCAAGAATACCATTTTATTAAGGACCTGTTAGGCATGGCTTGGAGATTATCCTTCCCTGGTCATCTGCTGCTGCTTAAGTGGAACTTAGGGATGGCCAAAGGGAAGAAAGGCACTTCATAGCCTTGGAAACTCATGACTGGTGCATAGGGAGATTACTGATGCCATAAACAGGAGTGTCAATTTGTAAAGTCAACAACAGGAGTCACTGTGCACTTACTCCTCATGTAGGATCTCTGTCCTTAATGTGCTGTACATTGAGGCTTAATGCTATAACGAGTACTCAAACAGTATATTTCACTTTGTGTTTCTATGGGGGTGCAAACTATTGAAATCATTACTTAATGTATACTAAACTGATCTTCTGTTAAAAAAAAAAGAAGAAATTATCAATTCCCAACTTGACTCTCACTGGGATTAAACATGACAATAGGTCTGATCTGATTTCATCAATATTTAAAAAATCATCTATTATTTTTCACTTTATGTTTCTGTGTGGGAGCAAACTGTTGAAATCTTTACTTAATGTATGCTAAACTGATCTTCTGTATATAAAGAGAATTGAAAATGAATCCTCATGTGAATGGAAGGGGAGAGGGAATGGGAAAGGGGAGAGTTGCAGGTGGGAGGGACGTTATGGGGGGGAAGCCATTGTAATCCATAAGCCGTACTTTGGAAATTTATATTCATTAAATAAAAGTTAAAAAAAAAAAAAAGAAAGGCACTTCACTGACATGCCCATCAAAGCTAAAACCATATCACCAGGTTGTACTGAGCCTGTAAAAATGGTACTTAGACAATACCTACATTGAAACTTTCTAGAGAGTAGTACTCTTAGAATTTCTGCATTTTCTTGTCATTATATTTAATTGTTTGACACTACTAATGTCCTCCTGATGGATTCATGTAAACTCATTATAACAGTTGATCAGCAATCTTATTTTGGTCTTAGGAGGTGAACTTCTATCCACTCCCCCCTCCCCCCATTTGATTTGAAGACTGCAAGAATCCTATTCTGCCAAGCAGAACTTGATTGAGTCCATTTAACAAACATTCATTGGGTGTTCTATGTGTCAAGTCACTGTCCTTGGCACTTCAAGTGTCAAGTGTAAAGAAGTAGAAAAAGAAGATTTGAGAAGGCAAATAGGAAGGCTGAATCATACAAAGATACATTCTTTTTTTATTTTTATTTATTTATTTTTAACTTTTATTTAATGAATATAATTTCCAAAGTACAGCTTATGGATTACAATGGCTTCCCCCCATAACGTCCCTCCCACCCGCAACCCTCCCCTTTCCCACTCCCTCTCCCCTTCCATTCACATCAAGATTCATTTTCGATTCAAAGATACATTCTTTATTTTCCTGTTTGTGAACAACTTTTGTGATTCATTGAATCTGTTGTAAGTATGTCCGTGTCCATATTGGTGCTATCTGGAGACACACAATGGCCCTTCAGGGACTAGAATGTTGCCCCTTTTTATCCATAAATGAAGCATCATTCTATTCAGAAGAATCTACACCACTAGTAGTAAATTTTATGCATTTTCAATTGCCTTTCTCTCCAGTCTTGCTGGTCTCAGTATTCCCCACTTCCTTCAAGCGGATGCAGAGATATCTCTCTCCTTCTAATTATTTGCGCATAGAATCTTTAAATTCACCTTCTTCAAGGGTCTTCTTTGACCCATCCAGCCAATGCTTTCTCAGAACTCCTAACACAATGAATCTCCCATTGCTAACCTCAAAACTAGATTGAGGGCAGGGTCTATGTCTTGCATTTCTTGGTATCTCTTATAATACCTAGAAAAATGATTGGCATATTGCAGGCTATCAAAGAGTTGTCTACTTATTGAATATACTCAGGGATGATATTAAAGTGACAGTGTAGATGGACACTGATGATTGAGAATGCCTGTATCAATTTATACTGTGTGAATGTCATTCATAATTTATATATGTCTCAGATACTCAAAATATTACACAAGGTAGATATGTTATCACCCTTTTCGTGTAGGGAGATGAAAGAACTGAATTTCAGAAAAGTTGAAATTGATTGCTCAAGGATATACAACTGATGGAAGACTTCAGGATGGTTCCATTCAAAACATGTGCTCCTTCTGCAGTACTACACTGATTACCTACTTGGTGGTGGATCGGGTCTTCTGTCTTCTTGGGTTTAGGTGTGCCTTCCAAATGGGAGGGAAATGCATGACTGGTGGCTGTGAACTGGGCACATGGGTAATCAGCTCACTTAGGCTAAGCCATCTCCATTGTGGGGAGCTGCATGCCCATGATTCACTATCAGTTTGTCACAGAAGGTTGTTTCTAAAACAACATCTGGTGACATGTTGGATGATTCACAGTGGGTCTCTTGAAACCTCTCATACATTGAACCTGTGCTTTTAATATGAAAATGGTTGTCCAGACATCTAGTTGGTGATTGAGAAATAAACTCTTCTCTATCATCAACTAGGAGTCAAGTAAATGAGTGATACATTCTAATTTATCATATACAACTATCAGCTTGCCACATTTCTCATTGCTGAGTACATAGAAAGACTTCATTTACTCATTTTGCAGTTTGGTTAGGGCCATGTGACAGAGTTCTGATCCCAAAAAATTATGACAGGGGGATGTAAGTCACTTCTATAAATTCCCCTTAAAATATCTCAAACAGTATTCCACCTTTTGCTTCTTTTGCAACAGGGAGATCAGAGGCCTTAGGTTTAAGATTCCAGCCTCAGAAGATGGAAGGAGACTGGGTTCCTGAATAACCAGTTTGGAGAAAACTTCTAAGGAGAGCTTCCAAACTGGTATTAGACACTGATGTGGAGGAGAAATAAACCCATGTGAAATCACTGAGGATGTTGCTGTAGCAACCAGTGTTTAATTGGTGCCATAAGTGATATATAGACACAACCAAACCTATTCCTTGCTTGTTATGCTGTGCTAAATATGTATGGTTTAGTAGTTCAGCAACAGGTAGAAGAGAAACTAATACTAGTGAATAGAAAAATGGAAATAAATGTTTTGCAGATAAATCATATGATGTAACTATGGCCTATTTTTAATTGTAAGGTTGTCTATATGTAATATTATTGGCTAATATTGGATATATATTATAGAAAAAGATAAATTAGGAAATAATTCTTAAGTTTATAAGCAGAAACAGAAGGGAATATAGAGAGCCCAGGAATTTGGCCTTATGGGGTTGTTAAAAAATTATTTTAGTTTTGAAAAATAAAATATGGTACGAAAAAATTTTAAGAGACAGAAATCCAGCAAAATTCTCATTTGAGCAAAGTGAGTTGAGGCAAAATCCAAGAGTATGGCATGAAGTGCATGGAGGTAAAGAGACAAAGAGCAAAAAGTAAATTTGATAGCAATGTCTAGAAAATAACTCTGGATATAGTTACTGGCATGGGGACCTGACTAGAAGCAGATAGATTGTATGCCTTCTAAGTTTAAAGACTTGCATTGACCAAGAAACCAGGGGCTTAGACCTAAAAAGTCCTTGCTCATCAAAGCTTACAACAGGTTTTGAGCTCCCCACCCATTTCAGACTAAGTGGAAGTCATGTATCTAGGACTACACTGCTCTGAAGGAAAGTGGATTTCTCCAGCCTTCCTTCTCACATGGCCAAGGAGAAGTTTGACTCTTTCTCAGAGTCAAATGCATACACTTCAACCATTCTCTGGGGGTATGGGCTTCACCAGGCTGGCCCAGAAGTGTTTTAGCATTGCTCGGCACCATGATGCCATGTGTTGTCTATAATTTCCTTTTTCAAATGGGATTACTTAACGTATTTTTCCTGTCCTTTGGCTTATGATGGTGATAACGTCGGGTACAGATCATGGCATTTTTAAAAAATGTGTCTATCACATCACTGGCTCTCCTGGCACTGACCTGGAGGTGGTGACTGGTGGAAACCTTGGGCTGTGAGGTGGGTGTGCTGTGTGAAAGGAAGAGTGAAAGGGATACGCTGTGCCCAGGTGGGTATACTCCAGCAAGAAACTCTTCGTGGTCATCATTCTCAAGTGACTTCCCATGCAGAGAGGAAGAGAACCCTTCCCAAACTACCCTGCAGATGGACTCAAACTCTTGCTATTAAATGAGCAGAAATGATGACTGTCAGTTCCAAACCAAGCCTGCTATGTCTTCTCTACATTTTCTCCCATCTTAACAGCTGGAGGCAAACGACGCCAAGATAGAGAAGCCCAAATTTCAAGGCAGTACCTTGAAGAAGGAATACCCAGAGGAGCTGTCTAACCCACACAATATGACTGTGAGTTAACGGTAACCTTGTATTGGGTTCTAGAACTTTTATTTGGAGGTAATAATTTATACCAGCACACACTGATCACCTAGAGTAGCATGAGAATGCTTCAAAAAGTTCTTGGAAAATGTGCATTAGGAAAAAACTATGTGTGGATGCCAATATCTTAAAGCTGGGGAAGCTATTTCTCTTAGAAGGAGTGAAATAATTTCCTGACCCCATCATATCATCACTGTCATCTTCATAGGATTTGATTCAATAATACATTTTGAGTGTTTAGAATGTGACAGATATTGGAATGCAAAAAAGAACAAGGCACTGTTCCTGGACTTGTCCTTAATCTGGGAAGAGGAATATATTAAGAAGTAGGAAAATCAGGGCTGATGCTTTGGCATACTTGGCTAAGCTTCTTCCTGCAGCACTGGAATCCCAAGTGGGTGCTGGTTTGAGTCCTGGTTGCTCCTCTTCAGATCCAGCTCTCTGCTAATGAACCTGGGAAAGCAGCAGAAGATGAACCAGTGGTTGGAAGACCTTTCTCTCTGTCCCTCCCTCTGTGTCTCTAACTCAACCTCTCAAATAAATAAACTTTTTTTAAAAAAAAATTAAGACTTGCATCCCAAGTGAAACCATCATATGACTCAGCTGACTCCGGATCTGGGAAGAGACAGGCAGAGGTAAAGACCTTGTAGAGGAGTTCACATACTCCCATGTACTGCTTTTTTAAAGATTTATTTTATTTATTTGAAAAACAGAGTTACAGAGAAAGGTAGAGCCAGAAAGAGAGAGAGGTCTTCCATCCACTTCTTTACTCCCCAAATGACCACAACAACCAGAGCTGAGCTGATTTGAAGCCAGGATCCAGGAGCTTTTTCCAGGTCTCCCACTCAGGTGCAGGGGACCAAGCACTTGGGCCATCTTCTACAGCTTTCCTAGGCCATAGCAGAGAGTTGGATCAGAAGTGGAGCAGCTGGGACTCGAACCAGTGCCCATATGGAATGCTGACCTTGCAGGCCAGACTTTAACCTGCTGAGCCACAGTACCGGCCCTCATGTACCAGCTTTTAAAAGGATAAAGGGGGATTTTCTAGGTAAATAGGGCAGGTAAAAAACTTTCTCAGTAGAGAAAATATGTGACATTGATTTCTTCAGGTAGTGATGAAAGATGTAATTTTTTCCAAAGAAATTTTTTATTTAATAAGTACAAATTTCATAAGTACAACTTTAGGTATATAGTGATTCTTCCCTCCATACCCACCCTCCTACCCCACTCCCACCCCACCTCCTCCTCCCTCTCCCATCCCCAGTTCCATTTTCCATTAAGATTGATTTTTTTTTTTTTTGACAGGCAGAGTGGACAGTGAGAGAGAGAGACAGAGAGAAAGGTCTTCCTTTGCCGTTGGTTCACCCTCCAATGGCTGCCACGGCCGGCGCGCTGCGGCCGGCGCACCGCGCTGATCCGATGGCAGGAGCCAGGAGCCAGGTGCTTTTCCTGGTCTCCCATGGGGTGCAGGGCCCAAGCACCTGGGCCATCCTCCACTGCACTCCCTGGCCACAGCAGAGAGCTGGCCTGGAAGAGGGGCAACCGGGACAGAATCCGGTGCCCCAACCGGTACTAGAACCCGGTGTGCTGGCGCCGCTAGGCGGAGGATTAGCCTAGTGAGCCGCGGCGCCGGCCCATTAAGATTGATTTTCAATTAACTTATACACAGAAGTCCAACTTTATACTAAGTAAAGATTTCAACAATTTACACACACACACACACACACATACACAAAATATAAAAAAACTGAAAGCAAGTTTTACAGTTAATTTTCATAGTAGAACTCATTAAGGACAGAGGTCCTGCATGGGGAGTAAGTGCACAGTGACTCCTGTTGTTAATTTAACAGTTGACACTCTTATGTATGATGTCAGTGATCACCTGAGGCTCTTGACACAAGCTGTCAAGGCTATGGAAGCCTTTTGAGTCCACAAACTCTGACATTATTTAGACAGGACCATAAGTAAAGTGGAAATTCTCTCCTCCCTTCAGAGGAAAGTACATCCTTCTTTGATGGACCCTTCTTTCCACTGGGGTTTCACTCACAGAGATCCTTCATGTAGGACATTTTTTTTTTTTTTTGCCACAGTGTCTTGGTTTTCCATGGCTGAGAAATGCTCTCATGGGCTTCCCAGCAAGCCCAGAATGCCTTAAGGGCTTATTCTGAGATCAGAGTGCTATTTCAAGAGATTGTCATTTTATGAGTCTGCTGTGTGGACTGCTTCCCATGTTGAAACATTCTCTCCTTTTTAATTCTATCTATTGTTATTACTGAACAATTGATCTTATGTATATGACCCCTTTAACACTTAATCCTATCTATATGATCAGTTTAATGCTTAATATGATCACTTTAGCACTTAAGGTGGCATTATTACCTCACAGCTTATTGGGATTTGGAGTCCATGGCAAGTTTTTAGCTGTGCCCTTAGAAGTAAGTCCATAGGAATATATGCAGAACCATACAGCTCCTCCCTTAGTCCCATTCTTATTTTTTTTTAACAGGGATCTACTTTCAATTGACTTTATACACATATGATTAGTTCTACATTAAGTAAAGAGTTCAACCAATGGTATTAAGAAGGAAAAAAAAACTGTTCCTTGATAGTCAAGACAAGGGTTGTTCAAGTCATTGCTTCTCAAAGTGTCAATTTCACTTCTACAGATTTCGTTTTAGGTGCTCTGTTAGTTCTCACTGATCAGGGACAACATATGGTATTTGTCCCATTTGGACTGGCTTATTTCACTAAGTATCATGTTTTCCAGATTCATTCATTTTGTTGCAAATGATAGGACTTCATATTTTTTTTTTACCATATTGTGTAGTATTTATAGAGTACATATCCCATTATTTCTTTATTCAGCTTTCAGTTGATGAGCATTTAGGTTGATTCCATGTCGTAGTCATTGTGAATTGAACTACAATAAACATTGGGGTGCAGCTAACTCTTTTGTTTGCTGATTTCATTTTCCTTGGGTAAATTCCCAGGAGCAGGATGGCTGGGTTGTATGGTAGGACTATGTTCAGATTTCTAAGGTATCTCCAAACTGTCTTCCATAGTGGTTTTACCAGTTACATTCCCATCAACAGTGGATTAGGGTACCTTTTCCCCCCACATCCTCGCCAGCATTTGTTGTTTGTTGATTTCTGTATGAAAGCCATTCTAACTGGGTTGAGGTGGAACCTCATGTGGTTTTGATTTGCATTTCCCTGACAGCTAGTGATCCTGAGCATTTTTTTCAGATATCTATTGGCCATTTAGATTTCCTCTTTTGAAAAATGTCTGTTTAAGTCCTTGGCCCATCTCTTAACTTGGTTATTTGTTTTGTTGTTGTGGAGTTTCTTGATCTCTTTATATATTCTAGTTATTAATCATTTATCAGGTACATAGTCTGCAAATAATTTCTCCCATTCTGTCAGTTGCCTCTTCAATTTCCTGAGTGTTTCTTTTGCAGTACAGAAGTTTCTCAACTTGATGTAATACCATTTGTCAATTTTGGCTTTTATTGTCTGTGCTTCTGGGGTCTTTTCCAGGAACTCTTTGCCTATGCCAATGTCTTGTGGGGTTTCCCCAATGCTCTCTAAAATTTGATGGTATCAGGTTATAGATTTAGGTCTTTAATCCATTTTGAATGGATTTTTGTGTAAGGTGTAAGGTAGGGGTTCTGCTTCATACTTTTGCATGTGGAAATCCAGTTTTCCCAGTACCATTTGTTAAAGAGACTATCCTTGTTACAGGGATTGGTTTTAGCTTCTTGGTCGAATGTAAGTTGGTTGTAGATGCTTGGATTGATTTCTGGTGTTTCTATTCTGTTTCATTGGTCTATCGATTTGTTTTTGTACCAGTACCAGGCTGGAAAAACATATTTTTACCCTTATCAGCAACTTCACCATCCTACCAAAATTATTTATTTCTTTCTATACAGAGTGGCTACTTGATCCTCATCCTCCAGCAGAGGTCAGCTTAGGGGAACAACTTACAGATTAAGCTCTGACTAGGGGGCTGGTGTTGTGGTGCAGCGGGTTAAAGCCCTGGCCTGCAGTGCCGGCATTCCATATGGGTGCTGGTTCAAGTCCCACCTGCTCCACTTCTGCTCCAGCTCTCTGCTATGGCCTTGAAAAGCAGTAGAAGATGGCCCAAGTGCTTGGGCCCCTGCACCCGTGAGGGAGACCTGGAGGAAGCTCCTGGCTCCTGGCTTCAGATTGAGGCCATCTAAGGAATGAACCAGTGGATGGAAGACCCCCCCTCCCTGCCTCTACCTCTCTGTAAGTCTGACTTTCAAGTAAACAAATAAAATCTTTAAAAAAAAAAAAAAGCTCTGACCCGGTGACTTAAACTTTACAACTTTATAATTCACTTATGTGGCATGGACCAAGTCACTAGAGTTGTGTTTATTTCCTTTGGATGAGTTCACATTTATACTGTCTTATTCATAACCTTATTGTGCAAATGCAGGAAGTAAAATGTGTGAAGCCTGGTTTGAAAAACCTAAACACAGCAAACCTAGTTTGTTTATATATATATATATATATACACACACACACACACACACATATATATATGTATATATATACATATATATATATATTAAAGATTTATTTTACTTATTTGAAAGGCAGAGTTACAGAGAGAGGTAGAGACACACAGAGAGAGGTCTTCCATCTGCTGGTTCACTGCCCAAATGGCTGCAACGACCGGGGCTGGGCCAGGCCAAAACCAGGAGCTAGGAGCTTTTCTGGGTCTACCATGTGGATGCAGAGGCCCAAGCACTTGGACCATCTTCTGCTGCTTTCTCAGGTGTATTACCAGGGAGCTGAATTGGAAGTGGAGCAGCTGGGACTCAAACTGGCACCCATCTGGGACGCTGGTGCTGCAGGCCAAGGCTTTAACCTACTGTGCCACAGTGCTGGCTCTTTATGTTTATATTTTTAAAAGACAGTTAACAGGCGCTGTGGCATAGTGGGTAA